TCAGTGTGCCCCAGTGCAGCTTGGGCTACAGTCGTAGTTTGTCACCACCTTATATGGAGTGAGTGAAGATTGACATGTGAAGCGTCTTTTAGCGTCAAGAAAAGTGCTGTATAAAACCAATGCATTATTATTATTTATGAAATTCAGATATAAGCCATACATAGATTGACCAATCAGATACCTTCATTTATGGAGAAACTCCAGCTTGCCTTGGCAACCGTCTTAGTAACACGTCTAACCTCGTTGGAACAAATGCCCTCATGAGGAAATTCAGCTAGCTTATGTTCGGCCTATTCTGCATTAAGGCTAACACTATGGTGATGTCACACTTTGTCAGTCCACTCCTAATTCAAAGTCTAGAGCTGATTGCAGAACTTTGTAAACCTTATTTGTGTAAAGTACTCAGTCCCTCAGCTCTGTCTCAGTGTGAATATGTTTCTCTTGTCTCTGGATGCGTTTGTCTAATGGACCTCACTGTGATCAGAGCGGCACACGTCACACAAACTCAAACAAGAACTGTTACTGCTGCGTGAGGAATTTAACAGACGAGTGCAAACGTTTGTTCAACATGAGCTCCACATGTGACTGACTCCAGATTATTTACTGCAGAAAGTTTCACATGATTCATTTTAGAAAATGTCAAAAACATAAATCACACCCATAAAGAAATAGGCATAAAGTATGAGAGACATATCCCAACAAAAAAACATCTTATTCTCAAACCCTGCGGAGCCAAAGCAAATTCCTAGTTTGTGACTTCCTGTTATTCACAATGGTAATAAAAAGAATAATGTTTCGGATTCAGTTCAATCTAGTTCGTCTCGGAGGCCTTTACAAACAGATCATAGAATCCAACAGTTTGAGCTAAGGTAATTCAATAAAACAAGCACATAGGAGCCATTGGTTCACAGGGAGCGCGAAGACCACTGTCCCAGATCAGCACTGTCCCAAGACCCTCCTGCATCAGAGAAGAACCACCCAGAAACCTAGTGTGGAAAAAGAAGAAACCTAAGGTAGACCTATATTGAGACAGCGATCCACTCCAACAGATGGACAGGCTGTATATCCAGGACTGAGGCTGTAGATCCAGGACTGAGGCTGTAGATCCAGGACTGAGGCTGTAGATCCAGGACTGAGTCTGTAGATCCAGGACTGAGGCTGTAGATCCAGGACTGAGGCTGTAGATCCAGGACTGAGGCTGTAGATCCAGGACTGAGGCTGTAGATTCAGGACTGAGGCTGTAGATCCAGGACTGAGGCTGTAGATCCAGGACTGAGGCTGTAGATCCAGGACTGATGCTGTAGATCCAGGACTGAGGCTGTAGATCCAGAAGAATCACTGTTTAAATCCCTTCACATAGTCTAAGCTGAAGTGAAAAACTAGGCCCTGGCAGCAGATAAACAGAACTAGAAGGACGGACAGAGCAGACATATGCTTCCTCTCCAGAGCAAACATGTTGTAAACAGTTTGATGGTGTAGTGTCCGTGGCCTTGAGCTAATGTGGACTCAAGCTGAGGGCCTGTCTTCACTTTGGGGGGTCCGGTAATCTCATGGCCTGGCCTCCATTCTTTCCAAAACACTGTCACGTGCATGTCTGCCACTGGTCTCTGTCTCTGGTCTCTCTCTGGTCCCTCTCTGATGTCTCTCCGGTCTATCTCCGCGGTCTCTGGTCTCTCGCCGATCTATCTCTGGTCCCTCTCTCTCTACTCTCTCTCTGGTATCAGGTCACCCGCATTATGTGCTTTAGGTGCTGTTCAGAACATTATTATATAAAGTATAGATACAGTTGTGCTTGACAGTTTACTCACCCTGCCAGAGACCTTTGGAGATTTAGAGATATTTTCCATCCTTGTTAGTGGTTTTTTGAAGTTACAGTGTGTAGTGTCAAATAAACGTTTTTTATGTTCAGATTACAAAGGCAACAGAAACTTATTTTGTGTTCATTGTGTATACGGTTGTTTACCCTCTCTCTCTGGTCTTATTTTCTGTGGTCTCTCTCTGGTCTCTATCTCTGGTCGCTTTCTTTAGTCTCTTCCTGATCTCTCTCTGGTCTTTCTCCAGGCTCTCTCTAGCATCTCTCTTCTTAGATCTTTTTCTATGGTCTCTTTGTGGTCTCTTTCTTTTGTCTCTCCTTCATCTCTCTCTGGTCTTTTGATCTGGGCTCTCTCTGGTCCCTCTTTGGTCTCTCTTTCTGGTCTCTCTCTCTTTAGTATCTCTCTGGTCTTTTTTTCTGTGGTCTCTCTTTCAGGTCTCTCTTTCTTTCAGGGGTCACTCTCTGGTCTGCTTTTCTCCCAGTCACACTGCCCTGCTCTGGGACACATCACACACAGGAAGCAGCCTCTGGCCTCGGGGCCTCACATTAAACACATGGGACGAGGGCCGGAAACAGAGCTCCAGTCCCACACTCCTCCACTCTCAGCTGGCTCTGGACGTGTGTGCATGGACCCTACAGCCTCCGTCCAGATGCGAAATAAGCCAGATCTGCTTCGGTAAATCAAGATAATCCCACTTCATTATGTTTATGTCCTCGGCCCCATCCTGTTCCTAATCTATCTTCTCCCTCTTGGTTACATCTTCAGAAAACACCACATTCACTTTCACTGCTACGCGGATGACACCCAGCTCTACATCTCCAGTAAACCAAATTCCACACTCCCACCGTCCTCTCTCACCAACTGCCTCCATGAAATAAAGTCCTGGTTCACTTCAAACTTTCTCAAACTCAACAGCAATAAAACTGAACTCCTCCTCATTGGCACCAAATCCACCCTAAATAAAATCAGCAATTTCTCCATTCCCATTGACGGCTCCTCCATTTCCCCCTCCCCTCAGGTAAAGAGTCTGGGTGTCACCCTCGATAGCACCCTCTCCTTCACCGCACACATCAATAGCATCACCCGCATCGCCTACTTCCACCTCAGAAATATCCGCCGGCTCCGCCCTTCTCTTTCCCCTCACACCACTGCCATACTTGTACACAGCCTCGTCACCTCTCGTCTCGACTACTGTAATTCCCTACTGTTTGGTCTCCCTCAAAAAACTCTACATAAACTCCAACTGGTCCAAAATGCAGCCGCCCGCATCATCACACACACCCCCTCCATAAACCACATCACTCCTGTCCTTCAACAGCTCCACTGGCTCCCCATCACCCACCGCATCCAATACAAAATCCTGCTCCTCACATTCAAAGCAATCCACAAGCTCGCTCCTCCATACCTGACTGACCTCCTCCATGTCTCCACACCTGCCCGCTCTCTCCGCTCCTCCTCCTCTCTCCGGCTCACTGCTCCCCCTCCCGCCCATCTCGTCACCATGGGGAGTAGAGCCTTCAGTCGCTCTGCTCCCCAGCTCTGGAACACTCTCCCTCCTGACCTCCGTAACACCGACTCACTCCCACACTTCAAATCCATCCTCAAAACTCATCTGTTTAGACAAGCCTACTCACTGTGACCACAACTGTATGTTTTATTCATGCTGTTTTAACATTGTATTTTAACTGTTTTTAATTGTTGATGTTAATTTACTTGTTGTTGTGAGGCGACCTTGAGTGTCTTGAAAGGCGCCTAAGAAATAAAATGCATTATTATTATTATTATTATTATTATTATTATTATTTATGAGAACTACTGCTTCAGGTCCACAGTGGCTCAGGAGCGAAGCACGACCCTCTGACTGAAGCATCGGGGAACGCTTGATTCTTGCACTGACCTTAACTAACCTCACTTTTTTGGTTATCCTCACCAGTGTTGGGCAAGCTACTTCAAAAACGCACTGATTTGTTACTTTTTACTGTTATTTAAAAGTAAAACAAAGTGATGTGTTACAATATTACTGTCTCGGAATTATAAAGCATTATTCTTCTGCATTACTTTTAAGTTACTTTCATCTATATATATATGCATAAATGCTTATTGAGGTTGATAGAGCTTTTGGTTTGACACATACAATACAACGCACTTAACTGTTATGTTCTTTGTCTCCAACAAACTCAAAATAATGAGAGTCTGTCCATCTTGAAAATGTACTATTGTCCAACGTAGTGCCTGCTTCTGCTTCAGCTTCAGCCATCTTCTCTCAGAAAGAAAACATAACTTCTAGGTGGCAGATTTTTTCTCCATACTGATCTTGCGGTGGCATAGTATAAAAACAAAGCGTGATACATGTCCCTCACCTCCTCCACAGAGTCCAGGGGCCTCCTGTCCCTCCCCTCCTCCTGACCACTGTCCCGCTCTGTGCTGCCCGGGGCCCAGCACACGGCAGCGTAGTATATGGCAGAGTCAAGCTGTCCACCAGCTCAATGTCCTCCCCCTGGATGTTTAACAGTTTGTGGGAAAGTGGTTTTCTCCTGAAGTCGATGATCATCTCCTTGGTCTTACTGGTGTTCAAGCACAAGTGGTTGCACTCACACCAGGCGACAAAGTCCGTGATAACCGACCGATATTCCAGAATGTTCCCCTCAGACACACAGCCCACGATGGCGGAGTCGTCAGAGAACTTCTGCAAGTGACAGCTGTGTGTGTCGTGTGTGAAGTCTGAAGTGTAGATGGTGAAGATACCGTCTACATGTCTAGCAAGTCAACACGTGAAGCTCTCAATGGATTCAAATAACCCATTTATAAACCTTTGTTGTTTCACCAGTGTTTCCATTTCTCTGCTCTCTTTCTCTGGTCTCTCTCTGGTCTGTTTCCACCAGTCCTACTTGGCTCTACTCTACTCTACTGCACTTTACCTGATTGTGTTTCCATCACGTTTTAGCGTCTGGTACAGTATCCTGGCAAGCCACCCACAACAAACCAGTGTCCAGAGAAATCCCTTGGTAACCATGTGGCCTCCAGCAGCACTTTGGCCAATACCAGGTCGGCCTGGATAGAACTAGGACCAAGAGGGACTAAAGAAGGACCTAGATCCTAAGTGAAAACAACTTTTTTTCTTTTGAAATCCACCTGTTTTCTATACATCCACACTTCGATCAGCCAGACCCTGGCTGTGACACTGGGTCAGGGAAGATCGTTGCTTGTGAGGTCTGGGCCCTGGTGGTGGTGGTGGCCTGAGGACAGAGTTGAGGGAGTGCCTGAAGGGCTGGAGGAGGATTTGACGAGGTGGTGTAAAATTGAACGTAGCACTCACACATTAAACATTGCGTGAGAAACCTCAGCGAGTTGTTTAGACCTGTGTCTGCTTTTCAACATGATGTAGACAAGGTATGTGCCACAGTTTCAGACCTGTGGTGAATATGTTTGGGTCTGTTAGCTTGCTAAAAGCTATTTTGCCAACGACATTTAAAATAACGGCAAGAGGACGTATGGGTCATCACTTAATGGCTCCTGTACGTTTGAAATATCAATTTATTAAACACAGTCATTGTGTTTCCACATACGACTCAAATATTAAATGCAACTGTGTTGTTCAACAGCTTCCCTCTATGAAGTTAAAATACCATATAACACATAAAATGGCAGATTGAAAACAGAGAACTAAAGATACAAACCACATGGCTCCTAGTAACACAGCACTGTAGATCCAGGACTGAGTCTGTAGATCCAGGACTGAGGCTGTAGATCCAGAACTGAGGCTGTAGATCCAGAACTGAGGCTGTAGATCCAGAACTGAGGCTGTAGATCCAGAACGGAGGCTGTAGATCCAGAACTGAGGCTGTAGATCCAGAACGGAGGCTGTAGATCCAGAACTGAGGCTGTAAAACCAGGACTGAGGCTGTAGATCCAGGACTGAGGCTGTAGATCCAGGACTGAGGCTGTAGATCCAGAACTGAGGCTGTAGATCCAGAACTGAGGCTGTAGATCCAGAACTGAGGCTGTATAACCAGGACTGAGGTTGCAGATCCAGAACATATGACTCCAATAATATAAGATACAAATATGTGGTTCAACAGCTTCCTCTGATGAAGTTCAAGCACAAGTCACAGTTGGTATTAGACATCCATACATTCCCCACACGTTGTTGTAAAATCACATTAAACACATAAAACAAAAGAGTGAACGCAGACGACTGCAGACACAAACCACATGGCTCCGGGTGACAAAGCACTACAGATGTCAGCACTAGTTTTGGAAAAGAGATACGACTTTTCTTTGGGTCTTGGGAGCTGTAACATAAAGATGGATTGGTCAGTAGTGGAGAGAGCAGGAGCCTAATTGAAAACTGACCCCTGTTGTTGCGTTGCTCCCGGACCCCTGACCTCTGTGGCCCCTGTGTCCAGACTGGATCTCACCTGGGTCACGGACGTATAAATCACTACAAAGTCCCGCAGGCTGTTCCTCATATTCAGCCATGACGGGTGATGTCGCACCATATGGGCTGTTGAGTGAAGTGTGGAGAGATAGCATTAAATATCCAGGCTCAGATTACTGGAAAATTATGGTAGAGCTAAAAAGTCAATACTAACGGTATCGCTACGGCTACCGCTGCAATAATGGAAAACAAGTGAAAGTAGTTTGAGCAGTTACATTTAGATTACATTTAAGAAAAAAAACATTAAAATCATACAAGGCTTTAGAATCATAAATAATCACAGTACATATAAAAGAGTGAAGATTCAATTCTTCAGTTTTTGGAGCGAAACAAAACTGTTTTTAACCTGGATTTGATCATTGTCAGAGTAAGACTATTCTGAAACACTACCTCATCATGTATCTTCCTGACTCTGGGACCAGCGTCTGGGACCAGCGGGAGGCCACCCCGGTGCTCCTCAGAGTCTGAGTCGGTGCATATGGCTCTAACATGCACATGATTACAAGCAGAGAATCCAACTGTTCAAAGACAGGAAAGAGAACGATAACAGACACATACGCAGGAGCCTCTGGTCCATGGGGAGCGGGAGGATCAATGTCCACAAATGTCCTGGACCTTCACTGTCCTAATGTACAGATGTAAACATACTGCTGCTAATGTACAAATGTAAACATACTGCTGCTAATGTACAGATGTAAACATACAGCTGCTAATGTACAGATGTGAACATACTGCTGCTAATGTACAAATGTAAACATACTGCTGCTAATGTACAAATGTAAACATACTGCTGCTAATGTACAGATGTGAACATACTGCTGCTAATGTACAGATGTAAACATACTGCTGCTAATGTACAGATGTAAACATACTGCTGCTAATGTACAGATGTGAACATACTGCTGCTAATGTACAGATGTAAACATACTGCTGCTAATGTACAGATGTAAACATACTGCTGCTAATGTACAGATGTAAACATACTGCTGCTAATGTACAGATGTAAACATACAGCTGCTTATGTACAGATGTAAAAAATACAGCTGCTAATGTACAGATGTGAACATACTGCTGCTAATGTACAGATGTAAAAATACTAATGCACAGATGTAAACATACTGCTGCTAATGTACAGATGTAAACATACTGCTGCTAATGTACAGATGTACAAATACTGCTGCTAATGTACAGATGTAAACATACTGCTGCTAATGTACAGATGTAGAAATACAGCTGCTAATGTATAGATGTAAACATACTGCTGCTAATGTACAGATGTAAACATACTGCTGCTAATGTACAAATGTAAACATACTGCTGCTAATGTACAGATGTAAACATACTGCTGCTAATGTACAGATGTAAACATACTGCTGCTAATGTACAGATGTAAACATACTGCTGCTAATGTACAAATGTAAACATACTGCTGCTAATGTACAGATGTGAACATACTGCTGCTAATGTACAGATGTGAACATACTGCTGCTAATGTACAAATGTAAACATACTGCTGCTAATGTACAGATGTAAACATACTGCTGCTAATGTACAAATGTAAACATACTGCTGCTAATGTACAGATGTGAACATACTGCTGCTAATGTACAGATGTAAACATACTGCTGCTAATGTACAGATGTGAACATACTGCTGCTAATGTACAGATGTAAACATACTGCTGCTAATGTACAGATGTAAACATACTGCTGCTAATGTACAGATGTAAACATACTGCTGCTAATGTACAGATGTAAACATACTGCTGCAAACATGTACAGATGTGAACATACTGCTGCTAATGTACAGATGTAAAAATACTAATGCACAGATGTAAACATACTGCTGCTAATGCACAGATGTAAACATACTGCTGCTAATGTACAGATGTAAACATACTGCTGCTAATGTACAGATGTACAAATACTGCTGCTAATGTACAGATGTAAACATACTGCTGCTAATGTACAGATGTAGAAATACAGCTGCTAATGTATAGATGTAAACATACTGCTGCTAATGTATAGATGTAAACATACTGTTGCTAATGTACAGATGTAAACATACTGCTGCTAATGTACAGATGTAAACATACTGTTGCTAATGTATAGATGTAAACATACTGCTGCTAATGTACAGATGTAAACATACTGCTGCTAATGTACAGATGTAAACATACTGCTGCTAATGTACAGATGTAAACATACTGCTGCTAACATGTACAGATGTGAACATACTGCTGCTAATGTACAGATGTAAAGATACTGCTGCTAATGTACAGATGTAAACATACTGCTGCTAATGTACAGATGTAAACATACTGCTGCTAACATGTACAGATGTAAAAATACTGCTGCTAATGTATAGATGTAAAGATACTGCTGCTAACATGTACAGATGTAAACATACTGCTGCTAATGTACAAATGTAAAGATACTGCTGCTAATGTATAGATGTAAAAATACTGCTGCTAATGTACAGATGTAAACATACAGCTGCTTATGTACAGATGTAAAAAATACAGCTGCTAATGTACAGATGTAAACATACTGCTGCTAATGTAAAAATGTAAACATACTGCTGCTAATGTACAGATGTAAACATACAGCTGCTTATGTACAGATGTAAACATACTGCTGCTAATGTACAGATGTAAAAATACTGCAGCCAATGTACAGATGTAAACATACTGCTGCTAATATACAGATGTAAACATACAGCTGCTTATGTACAGATGTAAAAATACTGATGCTAATGTAAAGTTGTAAAAATACTGCTGCTAATGTACAGATGTAAACATACAGCTGCTTATGCACAGATGTAAAAATACAGCTGCTAATGTACAGATGTAAAAATACTGCTGCCAATGTAAAAATGTAAACATACTGCTGCTAATGTACAGATGTAAAAATACTGCTGCCAATGTACAGATGTAAACATACTCCTGCTAATGTACAGATGTAAAAAATACTGCTGCTAATGTACAGATGTAAACATACTGCTGCTAATGTACAGATGTAAAACAGATGTAAACATACTGCTGCTAATGTACAGATGTAAAAATACTGCTGCTTATGTACAGATGTAAACATACTGCTGCTAATGTACAGATGTAAACATACTGCTGCTAATGTACAGATGTACACATACTGCTGCCAATGTACTGATGTAAACATACTGCTGCCAATGTACAGATGTACACATACTGCTGCCAATGTACTGATGTAAACATACTGCTGCCAATGTACAGATGTAAACATACTGCTGCTAATGTACAGATGTACACATACTGCTGCCAATGTACTGATGTAAACATACTGCTGCCAATGTACAGATGTAAACATATAACTACACTTTACTTGCACTAGAATACACAGTATTTTATACTTGCCTCTTATTTTGCCAAGTGTTAAATTTTTAATGTTATTATTATTTTCAAGATGGAGATTTTATACTATTGTTCACTTGCTCCTCTTTCCTACTGTTCTATAACTTGTGATGCAACACCGACATTTCTCCACTGTGGGACAAATAAAGGATCTCTTAATCTTAATCATGAGGGGAGATGAAGGATGACCCAAAAAGCAGGAATGCAAATAAAAAGGATTTAATGAAGAATAATGAAATTAAAGTCCAGGGAAAAAAACTAAATTAACTAAAAATCCAAACATCACTCAGGAACCAGGGCACAAACACATTAGGACGGGGCAGACAAACAGGGGAGCAGGACAGGAAGTCTAACCAGTGGCGGCTGGTGGAATTTTCTACTGGGGGGGCTATGAATATGATGACTAGATATATACCAGCAGTAAGTAAGTTTACACTGACTGTTGTGACTGAAGCCTCACACGAGAATGAAATATTTATCTTCCCAAACATAGCTAATTTGAGGGCATTTTGCATGTGGATACCAGTCTGCTCATGCTTCTTTGCCTTTTCTAAAAAGTGCTTCAGATCAGTCATACCTGTCTTGATCCATGCTGGGTCAGATCCTGATGTTTGAAACAAGAGGCATGGAAAGCAAAATAAAGCATTAGCCTCGCTACATGCTGCTAGCCAAGATTTGGCGCTGAACCAGGTCCTGGAAAAAGTACGAGTGTACCGTCTCCCCCTGTCGCTGGACTGCTGACTAATGGTAATATTTGGCTGATCAGGTCCAAGCTCTTTAACCTCAACCTTCTCCTGGTATGATCTTCTCTCAAACGGTATTGTTTTGAGTGATCTAACTGAATTATTCTTTTTCTCGTTCTCCATTTTGCGTCTCTTTACGTTCGTCTCAAACTCCCACAGCTTGACCTGTCAATCACTGTAAACGGACGTCACAGACAGTGACAGTACAGGTCGCGGGCGATCCCGCCCCCTCAGGGCGCACTTCTCCTGCGCCCCCAAATCGTCTTATCTCTTGCATTGAAGAGGAGCTACTGCGCATGTACAACTTTTAACGAGAGTCCATAGACGGCTCAGGGCGCAATCTTTTGCGCCCTGAGGCGGAAATACGTCCTCAGTCCGACACAGACAACGCTGATGAGCTTAATCAATCCAACTCAGCATAAACTATAAAGTATTTCTTCCACATCTGAAATAAAACACACATAAATTTCGAAATATTTTAATGTTATTATTTTTTTAACGTTTTATTCAACGTAACATGGCAAGTTGTGAGTGGTGGGGCGGCGCCCTAGCGCCCTCTATTGGCCGGCCGCCACTGAGTCTAACTCAAATGAAACCACAGAGAACTAATAATCCACACCATGGCATTCCTGCATCTGCAAAGAACAAACACTTGGAAATAAATGTGAAAAACCTTGAGGAGGTTCCCAGGCAGAGATGCATCTTTACATAGTCTCTCAATATGAAGTAAATGTAGTAGTATTTCTATCAAGAACAGGACAGAGCCACATTTTTGGATTTTGGACATTACATAAAACGCCTGAGTATATTACATAACACACATGGATTAAAGCTGACAATCTTAGGTGCACATTTATTTATTAGTCCTCCTGTGTAACCGGATCCAGACGATGTTGTTTCAGCTCCACATCTGCTTGTGTTTCTGCGTCTGCAAACAGGCCCCAGATGGAGCCGCACACGCATGAACGGAGCTCTGAGTCTCCATTACCCACACACATATTCACGAGCATGAAGCCCACGTCCCAGGACCCATTCCCACTGCACGCCTGAATAAAGGCAAGAGCATGTTTATTTGTATGGCACAGTTTATACAACGGACAAAGTGTACGATTTTAATTAGCCACACTTAAGTTTAGTTTTCACTTATGAACAGCTATTTAGTCTGTAATTTATGGTTAATTAGCTTTAATTGGTATTTACGAAGCACTTATTAGTCCTTGTTCTACATGGTCTTATTCAACATCAAACTAACTAATAAATCACACTTTCCCGTGTGGGTTAGGGTCAGGGTCCACTAATAAGAACTTAAAGGAGCTTTACTATACCCGTTTCTGCAAGGTTTGAATGTTTAGCACCGCCCCCCAACTCGCTCAGAGGCTTCTCATTTCCCCTATGCGCTCATCACACGAAGCCATCTAGTTTTATTTACGATCTGATACATATGCTAACATTAGCATGAGCGCTACTGAAGCTGTACAACAATCAGGAGGAGAACGGGCGTCACGTTAAGTCTCTAACTCAGCACTTTTTACGGCTTGAATTCATACACAAGCTGAATCAATGAGCTCAGGTTTTCAATTAATCGATTATGATACAATATAATATTATTAATCGATTATAATACATATTTTATGAACTTATTAGAAAATAAATCGGCATCTTTAACATGCCTATTCCTTTTTCAGACCTTATTTTTACAAGCGGATGAAATTGTCAGAATTGTCAGAAACATCAGAAATAAATGCATAAACTGAAACTGAAAACAGTGGCTAAGTTGGTAGAGATGTTTGATCCGTGTGTGAATTGTGCTATTCAAATAAATGTGGATCGATTGATGAACCGTTATTGCTGAGCCGACAAAGCACCAATCTGTTACTCAACAAACTAAACAAGATAACAGTCGACTTTGAGACGTTTGAAACCGGTCGTGTGGGAGTGATGTGAATGTTAAGCTGCTGATATGAGCGGAGTTTATTCAGAGCGCGGTCTGAGCCTCGGGTCCAGCCCTGGTCCAGCCCTGGTCCAGTCCTGATCTGGTCTGAGGTTTAATGAGAAGGAAAAACACAAGTTTCCACACAAACACGACAGTCAACAGAACAGGGTCCTTTAAACATGAGCTGCTGTCGCCAAAGCCAATGATGTCAACAAGTCCCTACAAGTTCTTAATCATGCGTTGGAGTGATACAGTATGTGCACTATATCATATACTGTAAATGGACAAACTCAAGGGAAAAAGATAAACAATTTGACCCAATAGTGTGCTCCCAAACTGTTACCTGTGTATATGAGAGCTTCTTAAACCTTCTTTCCAAGACTTCCTTGAAAAAGAGGTTAAAATGAGGTTATCAATGGGACTTTCCTGGTTAAATAAAGGTTAGATAAAAAATCTAATTTGATCTTGGTCTGTGAAATGTGCTATATCAATAAAGATGACTTACTTACTCCTGAATCTACAGTCTCAATCCTGGACTGACAGCCTCAGTCCTGGATCTACAGTCTCAGTCCTGGATCTACAGCCTCAGTCCTGGATCTACAGCCTCAGTCCTGGATCTACAACCTCAGTCCTGGATCTACAGCCTCAGTCCTGGATCTACAGCCTCAGTCCTGGATCTACAGCCTCAGTACTGGATCTACAGCCTCAGTCCTGGATCTACAGCCTCAGTCCTGGATCTACAGCCTCAGTTCTGGATCTACAGCCTCAGTCCTGGATCTACAGCCTCAGTCCTGGATCTACAGCCTTAGTCCTGGATCTACAGCCTCAGTCCTGGATCTACAGCCTCAGTCCTGGATCTACAGCCTCAGTACTGGATCTACAGCCTCAGTCCTGGATCTACAGCCTCAGTCCTGGATCTACAGCCTCAGTCCTGGATCTACAGCTTGTCCGTTCGTGGGAGTGGAGGTTTAGTTCTTTTTTCCCATTTTTTGTTTGTTATTGTTTTTTTGCCGATGCAGGGTCTAAGAACACAGATGAACCTGGACATTTTCACAGGACTGTAGAGAAGCTGAGGAGCTCCCTCAGTGTAAGACGGAGCGCTACCGCAGGGCCTTTATCCCCACCGCTGTCAGACTGTACAACAAGTCACTTTAAGTCTCTGTATTAAGACTGAAAAACCTGCACTACTATTGACACTGTTTCTGATTGCCACTTTTTAAATCGACACTTTTTATTGTACATACTGTAATATCCTGCATTTAACATTTCCTTCTTTAGCACAAAAATCTTGAGTGTTTCTATCCATGCCAAATGTGACATGTACATTTCTCCTGTGTAAAGCATATCTTATCTTATCTTCGATGTGTTTGTTTTTATTGCATTTCCTGTGTTTAATTCTCCAATCTGTTGCTGGGAAATCCACAACTTTGTAGAGTCCTCCAAGACGACTGGGCGATACACAAATACATGAATACTGAATAAACAATGACAACCACTTTTTTTATGAGGCAACAATGTAATAAGGTAAAAAAATATCAATACACCACACAGATATGTCTCCTTAAATATTTGTCCCTTCTACTGATTCAATGGAAGGTAATGGCTGTAGAAGAATGTGAAAGAGGAATCACAGGTACAATACAAACACATTTAAAATTTACTTTTATGAATGAATTTCCCTCATGTTCCTCTGCTGTTTTCCACATCAGACTCAGCAGGACTGGATTGTGGACAGGAACATGGGACGTTCTCTGCCAAGTAGAACAGTTTATTGTATTTTACTTTATTCAAATATTTTTTTAAATCACACATTATTGAGTATCTTTCTACAAGGTGATTCTTCTTTAAGACCAAAGGTTTTTTTTGTAGCTGACAGTTTGGACTGCAGCCTCGTCTGCCTTAGAGTGATGTCACGTGATGCGTCTTGTCAGCTGTTCTGTTTGTGGTGCTATCAAAGAGATCTCTCTAGTCTCTGGTCTCTCTTTGGTCTCTCTCTCTCTGGCCTATTTCTTGTCTCTGGCCTCTCTATCTGGTTTCTCTCTGGGTTCTCTGTAGTCTCTCTTTGGTCTCTCTCTCTAGTCTTTCTCTCTCTTCTTGCTGTCAGAGCCAGGATGACAGCGCCATCTGCACTCCAACTCCTTCATAACAGCATCCCAGGTGTGTGACAGTAAAGCAGCCCCCTCGTCCCGGTTTATAGTCCAGGGGGCACGTTTCCATACGTCTCTTCGTTCTGATTGTTCACACCTATCCTCCCAAACCCATCTTCACATGACGTTCCCTGAGAAATTCCAGCTCATTTGTAAGATCCATCTCAGACCAGGGTCCTGCTCTGTTCTTGCACTGGGGGTGTACAGTAGCCCTCCTCTCTCACAGACCTGCTTTGTCCATGGACACAGGAAACAGACATATATTGGAAACACATTTTGGTCGTGACAGGTTATTTGAACCAAACCGCTTTCAGATGCACTCAATCTGTTGGGGAGGGGCCGCTGCTTTGAAACAGCTCATCTGGAGAACTTTTTTCATTATTTTTCTTTTTTTCACAGGCGCATACTTGCTGTCGTTGCTGTTTTTTTCACTTGGAAGCTTGGGTTTCATGGCTGAGTGGTGGTATGGGTCTTCCCAACGTCAACATGTAACTGGTGCAGCTTCGCCACCCAGAGAGAAGCCGAAAAGTGTAGCTGGACTGAAAGTAAATAGTGCGGGTGACGCGACAGGGCTGCCCACTTTAAGACAGGAAGCGACATCTGAGTTTTGTCGTGAAGTAAGACGCAGACAGGGACTGGTTTAATAAAAGTGTCAGAAGAGACGTCACTGACCCACGACTCAACCCAAACAGTGATCACACATACACACGAGAGACTGGGAGAGTTGTCTTTGGAAGGATAAACATTGGATTGTCATTGTAGTATATATGTATGTATACATCGCTGTGGTCTGGAACTAAGCTCAGTTTAGCGCTTTCAGAAAGTCCAGAATACTACTGCTCACAGGGACATGCATGAGAGAGCACACTATCCCTATGCTAGCCTGGTCGTACCACACCATCATACTCATTTCTTTCAGTTTTACTTTTGGTTTTAATTTTTACATTTACTTTCAGTTTTACTTTTGAATGTGCAGGAAAACGGCTGAAAGTCCTGAGTAGCTGTGAAACCGTTGTTCTGTGCTTTTGAATTAATGCTTTTTTCTACCTGAGATGTTGCTGCAGTACAGTGTTCATGGTTTTACACTGGTCCAGACCGGAGCGAAGAGGATTCGTGGTCCAAACCAAGTGGATCAGGTGAAAGTCCACTGGAGGAATGCTAACTTTTTGAAAAATGCTAATGAAGAGAATATAAGAGAGCACATTACCCCTGCGCTGATTTCACTTCACCGACTCCCTCTTCACATTCAGGGTTGATTTTAAGTTTTAAATGTTTAAATGGTGTAGCCCTTGTACATCTGACAGAACTGGTATCTTCGTAAGTTCCTGTCAGGTCAGTGAGGTTTGACCTCATGAAACCAACCAGCATGTGAAATGTTAAACCTACAGTCCGACTCAACAAAAATCTGAGATTTCAAGGACAAACCTAAACAGATGGTGTAATAATCATGAGTATTGACTATTTAAACACAGTGCTAAAAAGCTTCTTTGTTTCCGATGGAGTCCTCCCTGATGCCCCTAATGCCCTGCTGTAAATCCCTCGGGTGCTAGCTGTTCCCTTGGGTGCAGCTCTGTCCACCGCAGAGGAGGGGGTGGGGGGCATTTTCCCAGGTTACCGCAGCGATAACCCCAGGGTCAGGGTAAGTGTGCCTGGGAGGGACCTCCCACAATGCACCAGCACACTCCAGCAGACCTGTGTTTATCCCAGCAGGCCTGTGTGGGGCAGGCGACCATGTCACACTGTATACAGAGGATTTGGACGTGTGATATTATATGGATTGGGATCTGCTGTTTAAAGCTGTCTCCACATGGACTAGAGGCCACCAGTGGAATTGCAGCCTAAATCCACATGGGCAGTAATGAGATTTGCCCCTTAGACCTCAGTGTTCACTAAAGAGACAGGGAACTACAGGTTTCATAAAAGGTGGGACTTTGTGAGGCTTGTCCATGGTTTTTGCTGTTGCCATAAATCCACACTTTTACGCAAGTAGACAAAATACACTGGGAGAACATGCAAACTCAGAAAGGCCCTGCCTTGAGGCAGAGGAGGCTAAGCACTAAGCCACCGCCATGCCCCAAGATCTATCTATTATAAACTGCTGAATGGGGATATTTACTTGTAGATCACAGTTATTTGCTCACAAAGCCATTGGCAAATAATTCATATTTAAAGGTCCCATATTCCACTCTTCATTCGTCACAGTCCATCCTAAGCACATGTGTGAAAATAATTTGGGTGATACACCATACAACACTCAAAACCTGTGAAATTATAGTTGACAACTTTGTTATTGGTTGTAATTTAGGGCATCACAAAAATCAATAGAAATTAATTATGAATTAAGGTGACCTCACACTACGTCAGGCCACTCCTTAATATACAGTCTATGTCTAAAAGTTGCTTCTAAACTCATTTCTGAAAACTGTGAGGGGAAGGTGAGGGGTAGGCTTCGATTGCTGCCATTGTGAAAATTGTTCCAACACCTTCTGGCCTTAATGAACTTCCTCTGGCAGGTTTGAGTTCCTCTGTGGCCTCAGTCTAATCCCCATCGCTGGTGTTCTGCTGCTTCTTTCTCATAACTCGTCCTTTGTGTTTTGGCGGTGGTACGGTTTCGTCTTACCCCCAGGTGTGTCGCCGGAGCAGCAGCTTCTGTGGAAACAGGAAGAGAGACGGGACAAACATGACGGTGCATTCTGTGCGGTACATCCACCAAATCCACAACACCACGGAACTCAAAGTACAATTGTCCTGATTATTTTTTACAGCGTTTTCCGCAAAGTTATTTTAATGTATCTATTTTTGAGTGTGAATTACATACAGTGCAACATGGAACAATAGCCTTGTTTCCACCAGCCTCACTCTACTCTACTCTAGGCTTCTATACTCTACTCTACTTTGCTTTTCTCTGCTCTGCTCTACCTGGTTGCATTTCCATTACGCTTTAGTATATGGTACTATAACCCAGTAAGCTATACCCACAACAAACCAGTTATTCAGAGAAGAGTAGAGGCCTGATTTTTACTCCGTTTGCACAGGGCTTTAAAAAACACTATGATGCTTAACTCAGAGCCCGAGTTGGAAAAACTTGAAATAAAACTTGCTGACACTGACTGTTGCTATATTTAGAGTAGATGTAGAGTAGATGGTGTAAGTTGTCATTCATCCTTCGCCTCGTCTGATTGGAGCAGAAAGCCTCCCCAAGCTCCGCCCCCCCCAGGCCTGAGGCGTGTGCTCCGTGGGAAAGAATGCAGATTGTCACATCTATATTTGATCGTGACGCTGAGCTGTGGGAGCCAGTTCAGCGGGACCTTCATCCTCTCCAGGCTCAGCGCAGTCAGTGATTATTCAAACCACAGCTCAATGTCACTAAAGTATCGTCGGGCTCCTTGCTCGGCTGTGGTCACATGATGAAGCCATTTACTCTCACATGGCAATTTTCACAAAAGTATCTCTGCAGCTTCAGTGACAGCAGAGGCAGCACTCAGAGAATTAAGGAAACAACCCCAACCCTAACCCTCTGGGAACACCAGGGTCGTTGCAAAATACTATTGCAGCAACACATCAGTAGTGTAAAACTAACCTGTCTCATGATGGTCTAAACCAGGGGTCTCCAACCTTTTTCAATCTGAGAGCTACTTTTATACAACAGAAGAGGCAGAGTGTGATGAAGTGAGGTGATGGAGGACTCAAAATGCAGGAATGAAAAGATATAAATGACTTCATGATGAAAACACAAAAGTCCAAAGGTAATAAAACAGATTCAAAAACCAAAACAGAACCAGGAACCAAGACAAGAAGAAACAAGACGATACAATGGACCAGCAACAAGAGGAGGGGAGCAATGGGCACATATAGACACAGACACAGACAATCAACACAAGACAGGAACTACAACGAAAACCAAACCACAGAAAACTGATGCAAAAATAAAACCAAAGTACAAAAATAAAATCCACACCATAACACAGAGAGCCACTTCTTTTTGCAGTCTTAGTAAAAATCTATGTAATATATTTGACAAAACATGGGAAACACATAAAATATACTTCATTTCTGTATAACCCTTTATTTATACTTATAATAGACTCAAAAGTGAATCGTTCAAAATCATGGGTTGAATTCTAAATCATTTGGGGACCTGGGCTGGGGATCTACAGGTTGGAGAGCCCTGGTCTAAACCAACCCACTTTCAGAATTAGTGGATAAAAAATCCAACTTGGTGAAATCTGCTTCAGAATGATGAGTGCAGGCCTTGTGTTTCCAGAGGTCTCCCATCACAGTATGAACCAAGCCCTGCCATGCTTAGCTTCACAGGTCTGACGCAATCTGGCTTTCACATGCAGCTGATATTGTTAAATACATAATTAAACAGATAATTAAATAAATATAATCATTAAAAAAATACTCAATATGTATAGTTGTCGATTTGCTAGAAAACAGATCAGAGAAAAAAATACTTGGGAAATGCAAAAATAAAACATACACATAGGAGACAATGGTTCATCAGAATGAGGATAACATTAGTTAAGTGTTGTCCTCTTTCTGAAAGCTTGTGTTAAGCATTTGAAATCAAGTACACCATATATGTCATGTTTGCAAAATGATCAGACAATTAAACATGTGCTTATCTGTTAAATGCATTTAGTCTCTTGCAGTATTAGGAATCATCTATACCACAATCTGTTTTATTATTTGTACTTGTTTGTTTGAATAATCCATTTGCCTCATTCCTCAGTCGTCTCGCCTTCATTCACCGTTGACTGTATTCAGGCTTTGGTGCATCTACAATACAATCCTGTGAAGCCAGACACAGCAGCGGTCCCCGTCATCTCCTCCTGGGATGTTTCTCGGTGTGGTCAGTGAGTCCTTGCCGTCTGCTTTCACACCTGAGTCTCTGAGGGTTCCTCCGTCACACGGCTCCGATTAGCACCAGAGTGAGGAGCAGATGGAGCTTTTCCAGCGCAATCAGCCAGACGGTCATCACGTCTGACCGCTAACACAATGAGATCAGGTTCCACTCACCTACAGCACGACCGCAGAGAGGCCAGACTGCCAATAACAAATACCTGCTTTCCTGTCGTTAGCCAAAGTAGTTAACCCTTGATTGCAAGAAATACTGTACCACACTGTCAGGAAGGGAGGCTGGGAGAAACTGGGAGTACAAGTGATATGGTTCATTTTATACATAGACCAGTGAGAAACAGGGCTGTATGAGGCTGGTTTAAGCAAGTTTAAAAGAGGAAACAGTGGTCATCTTTAAAGCAAAGATGATCTCATGTAAACATTAGCAAGTGTAAGAGAGGTTGGTCCCAGTTCAAAACATTATTTATTCAATTCAACACAATGTATTTATGTGCTTCCGTAAATGACAACAGCAGTCGTCTTAGACGACTGTACAAAGTTGTCCGAACAACAGATCAGAGAATCAGACCGTTCTAACGCAGGAAATGCAATAATAACACACATATAGGAGCCATAAGGAGCGAGACGACCACTGTCCAGAAATGCTGATAAATGTCCCAGATCTGTCCTTGGACCTTCCCGCATCGGCATGGAACCCCTCAATAAAAAGAACTCCAGAGAGAGAGAAATGATGAGAAACCTCAAGGAGGCCTAGATTGAGAGAGGGATCCGCTCCCCCGGATGATCAGGCTGTAGAACCAGGACTGAGGCTGTAGATCCAGGACTGAGGCTGTAGATCCAGGACTGAGGCTGTAGATCCAGGACTGAGGCTGTAGATCCAGGACTGAGGCTGTAGATCCAGGACTGAGGCTGGAGATCCAGGGCTGAGGCTGTAGATCCAGGACTGAGGTTGTAAATCCAGGACTGAGGCTGTAGATCCAGGACTGAGGCTGTAGATCCACCATACTGACAAAAGAAAAGCACATACAGAGAAAGCAGGCGTGTGACCAGTGCTGAAGCCATAGAGCTCTTTCATTCTTCAACTTACATATGACATGAACTCATGACATCAGCACTGCTCACAGGTCAGGGGAAAGTCAAGTTTTTTGGCACTTTGCCTTTAGTAATCAGATGATACTTCCTCATTGTTATACCGTATGAAGGCAGTACATTTATCATAGAGATTGGTCTGAAAGCTTGAATCTGGTGTTTGCCTTGTTTTTCTATCATTTATAATAATTTGGGAGTTACTTACTTACTGATTATATAAATACTGATAAGATTAAATGCGTGGCCTTTAGTTTATCCACAGTATTTGCAGTTTGCCTGTGTATTTTTGGGTAAAAAATGATCCAATCTTAAACCTTAATTTATCTTTGAATGTTATCTTTACTCATGAAGGCTTTAGAATCAGCAACACTCCTTCACTCTGAACAAAATCCTCAGCTTTTTTTAAAAATAACACCAGTTTATTGCTGATGCTGCCGACTCTTAAAACAGTGATAGCCCACAGCTGTTAGGGTTTCCCAAATTTGGTTTGGGCTCCTCCGTATCGGCGTATTGCTTTTGTTTGGATAAGTTCTGGTGATGGGGAGTTGGCTGGAGCTTGCCACATTTGTCCTTATATAGACCTCGGCCCCAGAGAAGCAGACATGAACAGTCTGCAGTGTGCTGGCTCATAGTCCAGGGCAAAGTGACTTTTTTGGGGGAGTTGAGCAAATAATATATCAAGCAAAATGAATAAAGTCCTCCCCCTCTCAAATCTCTGAAAAAACAGCAAGACATTTTTAATAGAAATTCCCAAATGTTTCCCCAGATCATTATTTAAGAGTGAAAGTCTGAAAGTTCTTTTCACTGGCCAACACCATATATACAGTGATGGGAATAACGGCGTTACTAGTAACGGCGTTACTGTTTTCAGTAACGAGTAATCTAACTAATTACTTTGACTGTAACTATAATGCCGTTATCATTTCCGACATCCCGTTACTGCGCGTTACTCAAGACGCACAATGAACTTCTCTTTTTACTTCGTGATAGGACTCGTGCGCGTGTTGTCATGAGAGAAGGGAGGATGAGAAAACCTCTCAGATGTTATTGGCTGATGTAAAACATATTTCCTTTACACTCTACATGTCTACAGTTGAGAGGATGGTCATAAATTGTGTTTTTGAAACAAATATGGGTCTTAATCACACTCTACCACGGCGTGTATCACCGTGAGGCCTCAGAAGAGCGCATGTGAGCGCAGAAGTCGGCTGCATACAATTCCATCGATAAGCTCCTTGCTCTTCCTGGTTTATCTGCTAAGGACAGCAACAGGTTTGGCTAACATACATATAACACATTTTTAAATAATTTTAAATGCACTTAGGGTAATTTTTCAATGACTATAGGAATGATAAGAAAGAGAGGTGAAGTATAAGACGGTTGATTTTAGAAATTGGATGCACCCGGCTGCAGCAAAACAGAGGAGTTTATGGAGGAGACACGCGTTTTGTTTTACTTGTTAAAACTCTTTGGACTCTTTTCCAAATGGAGGATTACATATCTACGCTCAAACTATTATCTGGACTTAAACACGGAACTGGTCTGAACCAAAGTGGACTGTGCAGGTTATTTATCAGGTAAGACCCATAACTCATAGTTTTGCGTTTTGTTTGAACAAACAATGCGGGCATGAAACATATTTTGCTGTAACCAAACAAATTTTCCACTTGATTTATATGATATATATGTTCATCTGATTGGGCTGAAGTCAGTGCTTTACCGGTGTTTCCACATTCACAGTGGCGGGTGTTGGT